AGCCGTCCATCCAATCACTCCCCATTTACCCTGATCTATCACCTATTTACGGGCCATGCTACTCGAGAAATCTATAAATAGACCCTCAGTTATCTTGAAAGGAGACCCAAGCAAGAAGAAGAAGAGAAGAATGAGAAGAGAAGAGAGGAAGAATAGGAGGGAAGAAACTCCTCGACCACCGCCAAAATTTTGCCAGACTTCAACGGGATGCCGGAATTCTGACCGACTTTCACGGGACGTCGAAATTTTGCCCAAGTAACGCCGGAGTTCCGCCCGACGCCGAAACTCAGCCCAAGTGATGCCAGAATTCTGTCCGACTTTCAAACAACGTCGGAATTCTGCTCGATCTCCAAGTGACGCCATAACTCTGTCTGACATTGTAACTGGATTTCAATCTAGTAGTGATTCATTGTAATCTGACCGTCCTAACTTTTGCGGATGATTCAACCACTTGTATCTCAAAAAAACACTAGTGAAACTTTTTCAATTGGGCGTGGCCCCGTGGTTTTTTCCCTTTCTAGTGTTTTCCACGTAAAAATCATTGTGTTATTTCATCTTCTATTTTTGTGTTGAATATTCGTACAACGCTAAGACGAATAATTTCTAACTATATCGCCGCGTATATTCTAGCCCGCAACAGCAGTGCATGAGTTAATTAGTAGATTGAGAGAATTAAAATGTTGCTCGGTGAATGAAAATTAAAGAAAGAAATAAAATATTGATTGAACAAGATCTAATACCAAAATTCATGGAGAGGGATAAAGATTAACTTCACATGTATAAATTGGAATAATTTGCATACACAACTTGGACATCAAGAGTTCTCAATTGGCCTAAGAAATAATTAGATTTCATTGATCATCTATTACTATATAATTCAATTAAAAGTCATTGATTTCTATTCATAAAAATCGGTTTATAAGTTAGAGGCTAAAGATTTGAAAGTAAACCTAATCCTAACAAACGTTCAAATTTTATTTCTAATCTTATCCAAAAGTAAATTAATAATCTAATAAGATAAATCAAATTTTAAAAAAATATGAATATATAAAAATCAGCCTCATTTAGTTAATGTTACAATCTGATTTAAACTTCATCTAATTGATTTTTAAATAATTAAGTCTTAATGAGATGATATAACCTTATTAGCATCATGTACTACAGCAAAAGAACTTGTGATTATAAAATAATCTTGTTCCTAAAACTTTTTAATATTCACTAATTCATTTTTTAATAATCTAAATAAGAATAAAATATGAAATCAAATGAAGCCTAAAGCTTCTTATTTATATTATATACTTTTTATGGTTTATGAATTATATCCATGCTTATTATGTATAGATGAGCAAATTAATTCTTCTAAAAATGCTATCTTCATGATTATAAAATTATAATTTAGAGCTTATTTAGGAAACCAGAACTCAGATCATAAAGTCCTCGTAAAATGAGGGTGAAATCTCTGGGTAGTGTCTTATCTACAAACCCATCTGCCTTCCAAAATTTACCCCGGAACTTAGTTCGTTAAAACTCTCTCGCCAAATAGAATATAGAAAGAAATCGCGCGGCGGGGAGGCCGGGGCCGAATTTTCGGAGCCCACAGATCACATGGCTAGAAAACTTTGCTCATCAATCTATATCTCCTCTTGCTAAAGTTGATCATGACTTGAGATTAGAAGGAAATGCTTTTGGTATTATAGAAGATGCCCTTTATATATATCCCCCATCATATGCAAAAAATAACCATAAGTTGGTTGGACAAAGATTTATATAAAGTTGATTGTGACATATCATGAAAATGATATAATATTCAAAGCAAAAGCAAATGATTGACCATTTAAATTGGGTTCAATGCAACAATGAAAAAGAAATAATCATGGTAAAGTTAGGGAGATGTGTTGGAAATAATATTCAAGAATGGAAAAAAAGGAAAGGCATGTGAGCCTAATAAAATCTAAAGCAATATTATTAAGATATCAATTAGGGCATTTTCACCTATCTTGTTTTTTTATGTTCCATAGAGATTATTAGTATTTGGTATAGAGCTTATTACACTCAATCATATGTTGTTAGAGAGATTTAGTGGCAAATTTGACAATGCATGTGAAAATGATTTATAAATGGCTATTTAGTTGGTGGTATAGTGAATTATTATATTTTAGATGTAGGGAATTTTTAATTTTAGATATTTTATATTGATGAATTATATATCTCACATTTGGTTCAATATTGATATAGCTGAAATTTACCTAATCAGATAAATTTAGAAATATGCTCCGCTTTCATTGTGCCAGAGATGGATCTCTCTAACACGAGCTATCTGGGTACCCAGCGGTACACAAAAAAAGCTTTGTTCTTTTGCTCTGACAGACACTCATCAAATATTCGTCGAAATCTGTCACCTCGCAACTTTTTTTTTGGAGAAAATTTGGACTTTGCCCGTATATTAAATCACTAAAAAGAAAGTTTAGTTACAACCGAGGATTACAAAAGGTCCCAATAGACAAAAAGGGACTGCTCATTCGAGCACAAAAAGAAGCCCGAATCAGATCAAGCATAATTGAGAAGCAAAATAACTACAAGTTAAAAGGCACAAAAAGAAAGGCTCCTTAGAATCAAAACACCTGGGCTCAGATAAAAGAGAAAACCAATCGAAATACCCCTTGGTTGCCCGAAGACCGTCCAAAGGGGGCCTGCTTAGGAGCTTCATCATTGACCAGGTGTTGCAAAGTCGGCACGGCAGGCACAAAGAAATAACTCCAACCTCAAGGCAACCATCAGCAAGAGCAATAGAACCGAATTTGAGCCAGAGCATAAACCTGCAGGAGAAAAGAAAGGACGCCTAGCAAAACAACAACTATGTATGGGGCTGAGATCTATCGTTCCACATACAAATCTTAAGTTTAACAGCTTTTTTGATGCAAAGAGTAGTAGAGGAACTATTATTAAAAATGTTAGCAAATCTTCTCGAATTTCTCTCTTTCCAGATATAGTAAATACTACAGCAAGAAAAGATAGAATAAAGCTTTTTTGTATGCTGAGTAGTATCAGGATCATTCGTGATCCATTCCAGAAGCTGCAGGATACTTGGTCTGAGGAGCAATTGCCTAGCAGCTGGCATAATGTTAATCAGAATATCATACGAGTAAGAGCATTCAAAAAACAAATGAGAAGAACTCTCAGGAAATACATGACAGAGAGAGCAGGCATTCGGAATTTGAATATTGCGGATCAGCAGGGCATCAGAAGTTTTAAGCCCACCGACAAGAGCCAACCACGTAAAGGCAGAGTAACGCAGCGCATAGCTCTTGTGCCAAACTAATTTATACCAGGAACAATAAGGCATGTTAGAGTGAAATGCATTTATGTAATCAGAAAACCTGCTATGCTTAAGATTATCCCAAATTAAGCAAGAACTGGTATGAGAGTATATAGGAATATCTTGAATAGCCAGCTTCACATTCACAAGAATTTCATTTGGCAAGCTCCAGCAATTATCTCTAATCAAGTCCCTAATAAGAGTTTTCAGATTAGTGTGCATGAGAACAAAATGGCCATCCGAAAAACTATCCATATTACCATTATAACACCAATGATCCCAATGTACAGCAATAGGGGCATTCGGAGTAATCTTAAAAGAAAATTTACTTTTGGCGATCAGAGCAGTCTGGCAAACCGACTTCCAAAAAGAAGTGGCATTGTGGGGAGAAGGTCTCCAAGGAGACATGTATTTTACAGTGAGCCAAGTGGAGAGCAAAGTCCCATAATTATACATTCTTAAAATGATGGCACAATTGAAAGCATACTGCATAGCTGAGAAGGAAGGCAGCCCTAAGCCCCCATTTTGAATAGGTAAACACACCTTATCCCAAGCCACCATATGGATTTTTTTGGAGGCACCAATTTCCCCAAAAAATAAAAATCTGGAACTGACTTTTTTGAAGTGTTTGAAAATCATTTTAGGCATAATAGCCCCTCTAATCCAATATGCAATAGAGTTGATAATAGTGAATTTCAGGAAGTACAATCTCCCAGCAAAAGAAAGCAGGTTGGCTTTCCAACCAGAAAGTTTTTTGTCAATTTTATCAATGAAGGGGAGAAAATCCACCAATTTCAATCTACTAAAAGAAAGCGGAATGCCAAGATATGAAATACAAGGGCTGATAGTATGAATAGATAAAGCCTGACAAATATTCTCCTGATTCCTCACTGACTTAGAAAACATAATAGAGCACTTATCATGAATTGATGTACAGACCAGAAGCTTTGGAAAAGGTAGACAATATATCATTAAGCTTGCAGCAATTATCTATAGTGGCTTCACCAAAAATGAGGACATCATCAGCATATAAAAGGTGGGAAATATAGCAGTTTTCCATTCCAACACCTTTAAAAATCCCATCATCTAATAAGGTCGAAAGAGCATCCATGACAAGGCAAAAAAGGTACGGGCTAAGGGGGAGAAGGTCACCTCACAACTTCAGTTGGGCTTATATATTCCTTTACTTATCTATATAAGATACTTTTTTACATATTTTTTATTTATATAATATTATTGCACCTTTCAAATTTCTAATTAACTAGGATGAATCAATATGTCAGGCCAACCCTTTGTGAAAAAATTATAAATTATAAGATTTAAATTCATAATAAATCTTAAATTTAATCTCACAATAAAAAATATATTATTATAAAAATACCAATTTATATGCCATACCTCGTAAGTTCATGAATTAGAGAAATTATTCCATGCAGAGTCCGAATGAGAAATTTTCGTTCAAACTATGAGTGTACACACTATGTACAAATAATATGCACACAGTTTGATAGTTCAAATTGTATATTAAAATTATACTCAATGTACACAGTGCATACACTCATAATCCAGACAAATTTCTATCCGAACTCCGCACGAAATTAGGGCTAAAAAATAAATTTGACAACTAATATATCATGCCAAATGAATCAAGAGCCATAGGAGAGCACTTCAAAGAAAATATACAGGAAAGGCCAAAATCACAACAACAGAAATTTCATTACAAATGTATGCTCACAACAAAAATCATTAACTTAGTAATGTCAATGTGAGATTGTACAAAAGAAAATACATGACATTTTGCTCACATAAAGTTAAAAACTATTATCCAGTGAAGAAAAAGTGCAGTAGTAAGATTAATCCAGAGAAATAACTTCATATGGTGTAAAGCCAGCAGTTTGTTCATCTCTTCCATCAGAATTGTTACACAGCTTCATCCTTTTCCTTCTTTCACTTCTCTTATTGATCAGTGGATCGGGATCTTCCTCTGATTCCTCATCAGTATAGACACCAAAAAGTTGTATAACCAAAGTGATTTCTCTTCTACGTTTATGATTTGTGTTTTCTTTTCTATCAGGAACATTGCAGATCTTCTTGCAAGAGGTTCTTCGCTGTCTTGGTATTTCCGGCCCAGCGGCAAGAGACCGGTTTTTTAAATCCATGACAAGTAACTGATTTCTCTTATTGGAGCAATCAGGTTGGGAAGATTTCTTGCCTGAGCTTCTGGGTTTATCAGTAATGGAGGATAAGTATTCTGACATAATCTTGGGTCTTTTTATGACCCTTTTATCCTTAATTTCCTCTGCTGGAAGCAACCTTTGTCTGGCCTGTCTATCAAACCGTGGTAAGTTAGTCTGGTTGTCCCTTGCATTCTCTTGAACACCTAGACATGAAAGTAACAAAACCTTGATATGGAAGTTTATTTGGGGCACTGCAATGCATGTGTTGGAGCAGAAAAGGTTACACAGGAGAAGAATGTGCAGGTTACGTTATTAAAAAGTACTACTAATGATTCTACCATTTATTACCTCTTAAAATAATCTTTAGACTCGTAATTGATTCTACCATTTATCTTCAATACGTGATTGATTAGATATTTTTGCATGATTTATAAGAATTTCATGCCCATAAATATGCTTTGAATATATTTCATATATATAGTAAGGGCATTATTTTCTTAATAGTTTTAATGTATTTTAGATGTCTATCGAGTTGTGAGTTTAAATAAGGGCGTTAAAATATTATTTTAGGAATTATTTGATTAATTGACAAAAGAGTAAATTTTTGTTTTCAAAAACCTAACGCCGGCTCATCTTTCTCCTGTATTTTACCTCCCAGATTCTCAATTTCCTTCTCTCTCTCCCCTCAGGTCCCATCTTTTTAGCACATGTTTATTTTTTCTTTAGACTTTCTCTATGTTTGTTATAAATAATTTAGTAACAGAGCCTCACTTCAATCATATCCACATCAACTATGTTTCCCTGCTCGCAAACCCAACACCACACCTACTTCCACTTTGTAGCAACCCTTCTCGCTCTGCCTCTTCAACATCACTCTATGTCATTCAGTCCTATAATGTGCTTTTCACTTGCATCTTGTCTTATGCCACCCTTATCATGCATAGTTGTATTCCGTTCACACATATTGGCACCAACAAATCCACACTGTTACTCATAGCATGCCCTTCAGGTTTTCGTTGATATATATTGCCCTTATAAAAATCAAGATTAAATTCCTTAAAAAAGAGATTGATCGTATCAAAGAAATACAAGACCATAAGCTCCTTTCTAGTAAAAATCCATAAGAAGATTCTTCAATACAATCTAAATTAACAAATGAATATCCACTTGAATTTGAACTTCGTTTTAAGCTTTAAACCAAATGTGCTTGCGCCAACACTTAAATCATTTGAGCCAAAAATTGAGTCCAACCTTACTAAAAATCACCTCATACTTACTAAAGTTGTTAGTTTACCAATCATTTCTAGTAATATCAACTCTTAAGGAATTATTTGATGAGATTTCTCATCTGCATGTTAATAAACACATTATTTTGTACTTGGCTCTATGTTATCAATTCTATCAAATAATAAGAACCATTTGAATAATATTTGACCTTAAATCGCTTATTTATAGTATTGGGTTCTATGTTATCAATTCTATCCAATAATAAGAACAATTTGAATAGTATTGACTTTAAATTGTATATTTATAGACTTTCTATTGATGGCTTCCTTCATGAAAGCATAGGAACAAAGATCCTTTTAACACCAATTAGATTATTTGTATAATATTGCTCACTTTGATCTAATAATTTTTAATGAAACAGCTTGCATTCCTAATATACTTCTTTTTTTTTTTTTTTTGTAGAAAGCAACGAGTATGATTCTTCCTTAAAAGTAACATTCCTAATATACTTATTTTTATCTGAAGAGTCAGTATGGTTATTGGGAAGTTCTTTGGACTTAGGTGTATGCAAAAAGTTCTCAACTATTAATAAAGTGATCTATCATGCTTTTCCTAGGTATCTTTTGGGTGTTACTTTATTATCACTGCATGTTTTTATTTTGATCATACTGCATTATTGATAGTTTATTTGCATGATATGATTTATTTGTTGAATTGACAAATTAAATGCCATGCACATGTTCATTCTAATAAAAATTTTATAGCTATGGCACATGTTCATTCTAATATTTGGGATAACAATAATGAAAATAAAGCTCTAATTTATCTTTATCCAACAAAATATGCTTTTTACATGCAATAGATTACATATCACAACCTCAACGCTCTCTTATGTTTTTCGAAAGTTAGTACCTATTGTGTTTGTAGTTATGTTTTTGGAAAGCTAGTACCTATTGTGTTTGTAGTTGCATTGCTTTCAAAATGAATATGAATCATGTTTTTATGTTGAGATATGTTACCTTCTAAAGGGCTTTTAAAGTTAAGTTTCTAATATGTAACTTTGTATAAAGAGTCCTGCATTCAACCAATAGCATCAGTTCTGAGTATTCCACCAATTATAGCTTCAATTCCACATTCACAACCATCAGATGACTCTTGGGTGATCCATGCAAGTTAAAACACATCATGCCCGTCCTTTTGAAGCACCTTCAGTATAATTCTCCATGGAGAGTTCTTCACAAATCAACTTCTATAGTACATGATTGATTACATTTTTCTTACTAGTAGCATCGATTCCAACTCTTAAAAGTATTAATACATTTTAGTTATGCATTGAGTCATATGTGAATCAGTTAGACATCAGCATATTACATTGGATACAAAAATTGTACAATCCAGATGCGAAGCATGGGCTACAGACATGACGAGACAACCAACAACTATGAAAGCCCACCAAACAAGACGGAACAAATACATTCCAAAACTCACAAATGACAACAACATAATTTTGACAACATAAAATGACAAATGGGTCTACATATGTAATAAAGCACTAGTCTAGTGTATATTTTACTTGTTTTAAATAGACTAGTTCTTTAGTGACATGTTAGTCTACATAAGTATTATAAATACCTCTTTAGTTGTAAAGACTTATTATGAAATGAATAATTTCTAATTTTCTCTCCTCTCTATTTCTTCTAATTCTCTTGGGAGTTTCCACCTGCTCGAAACGTGTCAAAATTTTTTGGATCACCAAGAAGCATAACAAATGGTGCTCTTGTTGCACTAACCTCATGCCACAGCAAGAGGTTGCTTCTCAACTTTCCTTCTCTCATTCCCATGGTCCAGCACTCCAATTTCAGCCATTTTTTTGCTTCCACCTGCCCGCAAGTCATCTACCTTGAGGCCTGTTGTTCTTCTTCCACTCCAACAGCAACAGCAGCATCCCTCATCCCTCGCCAACAGCAACCTAGCAACCTGCTGTTATTCTTCCACTCCACAGGTCAGCCCAACTGCAGCAGCAAGAAACTCCTTCACCATCCATAATTCTTCATCCAGGCTCAGCCACCACTCACAAATTTGCTGCAGCCGCCTTAGCCACAGATTCCAGCCAAAAACCTGACTTGAAGGGTCATTCAGCCCTCTTTGCAGCCAACATACCTTTTCTCCTCCACCGAAACTCCATTCTCCACCTCCTAATCCTACAGGCCAGCAGTCTCCACTGCCCCAGCTTTCATTTCAGCCGCTGCTAACCTGCTTCATTCAAGAACAGCAAGAAGAAATCTGCTGCTGCCTTCAATAATTTATGAAGTTTTTTCAGATTCTGATCTGCAAGAATAGCAAGAACAGCAGTTTTTCAACCTATACAGTCGTTTCTTCAGCTACTACTCTTTCCTGCACTCAGCCGGCCAGCCACTCTCCTATATTCAGCAGCAGGAATCCACCTTCACTCAGCCATCAAGACCTGCAGTTTACAGGAACAACCAGCCCTTTACCCGACCAAACAGCACCCAATACAAGAGCTGCGAACCTATGTTTCAGCTGCTGGGGAACTGATACGGGAGAGGGCAGCATGCCAGGGGCGGGAAGGCAAAGGATTAGGCCCCACTTGTGGGGCTCATTAAATCTATCATTACGTATGTGAGAAGACGAATTAAGGAAGTAATTAATTAGGAGACATTCCTAATTAAAAAGGACTGATTTGGGGGCTGATTAGAAGGGGATTAATTAGAAGATGTTTCCTAATTAAAGAGGGAAAATTTGAGGGGCTGAATTCGAGGAGATTAAGTAGGAAATATTTCCTAATTAAAAAGGACATATTTGGTGGCTGAATTGCAGGAGAATAATTAGGAGGTATTTTGCGGTTAATGGGTTAAGAGAGAAGGAGAAGCTTACAGCCGCGAGGTTATGTCTTGAGGGAAAAGCTCTCACTTGGATGCTGTTGAGAGAGGCTAGATACCCGATCCGTTCATGGGAGGAGTTTAAGCATTGCTTGTTGGAACATATTCCGAGCTATTCGGGAATGAGACCTACACGAGCAATTCATTGCCTTGACATAGGAGGAGACTATCATGGAGTACAGGGAAAGGTTTGAGTTGTTGTCAGGGAAGTTGAGGGGAATTTCATAGGCAATATTGGAGGGAAAGTTTATGAAGGGCCTCAAATCCGACATACGACGGACCTTTGATTGCTGAGGCCGAGGAGGTTGAAGTAGACGATGAAGCTAGCACAGATAGCAGAGGATTGAATGCAAATGGAGAGAAACGGTAAGAGCGGGGTTGCAGGAGGCTCTTACAGAAGTACCTCAACTTCATTAGCACCAAGGATCCAGACAGTATCGTTTTAGCGGGAGGCACTAAAGGAGAAGAGTCGGGGAGTTCGCTCCGGGGCCAATTTCAGCTGCCTCATAGAGGCAGAGGTGCATGACAAGAAAGTGAAAGGTCTGTGCTTTCACAATGATGAGAAGCATACACCAGGCCATCGATGTAAGGATCGCACACTCCATGTCATTCTAGTTTGTGAGGAAGAAACTGGCAGCGAGAAGCAGGTAGAGGATGCAGAGGAAGGAAGAGAGCATTTACACTTGATGTGGCGGAACTGTCCCTAAATTATGTGGTGGGATTTACTCCAAATCACACCATGAAGGTAAGGGGACGGATCGGGGAGCAACCAGTGGTGGCCTTGGTGAATAGCAGGGCTACTCATAACTTCATCTTCAACCGGATTGTGGACTAGTTGGGATTGAAATTGGTGGATACATGGAGCTTTGAAGTCATGATGGGAATGGAAAAGGCAGAGGGTAGTAAGGGGATTTGCAGGAGGCTGTTGTTGAAACTCCAAGGTATATAGATAGTGAAGAATTTTCTTCCTTTAGATTTGAGGAGCATTGATGTGATCTCATGGATGAAGTGGTCATAGATGATCGGGGAAACGAAGGTGGATTGAAAATCTCTGACTATGGAGATTCAAGTAGAGG